TGTGCACAGTGTATTGTCGTTCCAGTCTATACTCCTCGTTCAGGCAAATATGCAGGCAGTGCTCAAATATCGATTTTGAGCAAGGGGGAAGGCAATGTGTCAGCTGGTGGCATCATGAGTGGCGCAATTATTTTTCCCTCCTATGTAGGACCCCTGAATGTAGTCACATGCAACAATCTAATAATGTTGCACTTCTCATTTATAATCATTCACGATGATGATTTTTAATGGGATGATATAATTAGTAGAATTTTATGTTTGAGTCTGCAGCCACCTGCTGACGCTGGTTGCTCGCTCGCAGATTTTTCTACCCTGAAGATGGAGGCGATACGTTCTTTCGAAACGTCGCTTCACACAATATGTACACGGCGTCACATCTCAGAATACGGCATTCTTGATGAAAATTGGGTTATAATTTTTATTCTAACCATATCGAAAACATCAGTTTCCGTCCAGATCGTCGAAATTAAGCGACTTTTATCATGGTCATTACTTGGACGGGTGAACTCGTTAGACCACCGCTTGACGTAGGTTTTTCAATTTCGATCAGGTCGGGATAGCTAAGTCAGTATAGTGATCAGTGTACGGGTCTGGGATTCGATTCCTGACAGAAGCAGGGATTTATCTGTTTGGTAGTGCATGAATACCGCCTCGAGAAAGCATCCACTCTGATTTTCAGTAAGTACCGGTGTTTCTTTCACTTGAGGTAAAGGGGACGGAACGTGGAACTGACTACATCTCGTCCCGAGACTAAGAGTGGTCAGAGTTCCTAGCTACAGATTAAGAGGTCGCGGGTTCGATTCCCGACGCTACCAGAGTTTCTGAGAAGTAGTGGGTCTGAAACGGGGTCCGCTCAGCCTCGTGAGGATAATTGAGGAGCTACTTGAATGGAAAAGCAGCGGCACCGGTCTAGAAAATCGAAATTAACTACTGTGGGGGTCCGTTGCGCTGACCACGCTACACCCTCTATCCGTTAAAGTTGGCACTAACTTCGCCGACAAGCGTCGGTCGCTCGGTTGGTATAGTTCGCTTGCGGACTAAAGCCACGGAGTTTGTTTTTGTAGTAGTTGCGTGCGGGTTTACACTTTCAGATTGGGTTGATAACTAATATATTCTTTCGACATGAGATAAGAGTGTAACGTTCGTATTTAAAAATATTATTGTTCCAAGATTGAAGTAATTAGCGCCCAAGTTTTCCCTAATAATTTTATGTTCCTCGTATCTTGATTAGCGGCTTTCCACGAACTGCGGAAGCAGTGTTTCTGCGACAGTGTTTTTGAATAATTCATAGGTTTCACGGTAATGAAACGGTCCACGATTCAGTCCCTACCACCGCTACCGGTTTTAAAATAATTAACAATGAAATATCCATGCGGTAACGTAGCTGGTTGAGGCACTATGCTACAAGCCGGAAGGTCATGGGTTCGATTCCCGATGAGGTCACTGGATTTGACCTAATACTTCCAGCCGCACTGTGGCCCTTGAGTCGACTCAGCCTTCAACAGAGAAGAGTACCAGGAATCTTCCTGGGGCAAAGGGGAGCCGCACGCGTAAGGCTTACAACCTCACCGCCATCTGTGAGCCTATTGTGTAGATAATGTGGGAGCCTCGACGGCCTGTTACAGGGATAGCTTTACAGTTTTTAACAGTGAAAGATCTGTAGGTATAATTGCAACCAATCACCTGAAGGCAACAGCAGAGCGGAGTCTCAAAGCGACATGTGTGAACTGAAATAGAATCCGGTTTTCAACATAATAGCATAATCAAGGCTGTTGCCATATCTGTTCACAAGTCAACAAGATTATGGTAACACAAAAGAACACTAACTTTGGAATGACAAGGCAGCCAGTGTAAACAAGCGTAATACAGACAGTTCAGTATTTATATGGCTACTTGCTGGACGTCTGACTGGTCGGAGTTCGAGTCCCGATAGGGTATAGAATTTTCTCTTCTCCATGTCTTCCAGACCGAGTCAGGAGTCCACCCAGCCTCCTATCCAATGGGTACCGGAGGCACTTTGTCGGGGAGTAAAGTGGCCGGGGCGTGAAGCTGACCCCTCACTTCCAACCAGTGCTACGCCTTCATGGCATAGTGCTTATTTAGTTATGCACAGGGACAACTTTACCTTATTTACCTTACATGATTCGACTCTTCGTTGCCATCTTCAGAAGCTGGACAATAAGAACTAAATAGTTAATTGATATGCCATTCGAAATCTTTTTGTATTGGATTTTAGTCACTGCAGTGTATTTTTAAACTTGTGTTTTTTTTTCTTATTCTTATAACATACGCAAACCATCATGTGATGTAAGGTCATGTCATTAGTAAAGAAAATTTTATTCCCATTTAAATAATATAATTATTTCAAATTGCATCAGTCTTACATACAAAATATATACAGGATGACAAGAAACTTTGCATGTTACTTTTTTAATGTCATTTCGATGATCGACTAACCCGATTTAGTCAGCAACAGCTTATTTTGTGCGTGTTATGGAAGAGGGTGAAAACTTGTGGTGCTTTCCTGTGGTTCCGAGCCAAATTTCCAAGTACCATTAATATTCGCAGTTGAAATTCGTTATCCTAATGTCATTTCGTAGTGTCGCCGAAATACAGTGCAACTTGCATAGGTCGAACTACATAAAGCACTGGTGCGTTCGGATTGCTGGACTTCAAATTAAAAAAATAGTATTTTTTACTAAAAGTGTTTATTCAAGAAGAGCGAGGAAAACTCATTTGTTATGGAGACGGGATACGGGCTGGGCGGCCAAAATTCGATTCCCAGCAGGGGCAAGATTTCTCTCTTCGTAGCGTCCAGACCGACCCTGGGGCTCATCCAGCCTCCTATTCAATGGGTACCAATGACTTTCCCCGGAGGTAAAACGGCGGGGGCTTGAATCTGACCACTGATCTCGATCTAGTGCTGCATTGAGGGATGCAGGTGCTATACCTTCACTTCCCCAGACGTCTTCATGGCGTGGTGTCTAATTAATGAACCTCAGGAACAGTTTTACCTGTTTTATTTATTCAAAAGTTTTATAGGAACCCGCGGACGTTCGACCACACGCCAGGCTCTGGAGGAGCAGTAATCAGGTTACTTCTCACCACCCACAGAGGCAGGTCGATTGACCCATCATGTTTCACTAGAATTCATTTTTACTGCAAGGATGCAAAAAGAAACCAGTGGCTTTAGTCCGCAAGCGAACTCTACCGACCGAGCTACCGCCGCTTTTCGGCGAAGTTAGTGCCAACTTTAGCGGATAGAGGGTGTCACGTGGTCAGTTCAACGAATCCCCACGGCCGTTAATTTCGGTTTTCTATTTACTTGAAATAGCTCATCAGTTATCCTCACGAGGCTGAGTGGACCCACTACTTCTCAGGAAATCTGGTAGCTTTGGGAATCGAAACCGGGACCTCTGGATCTGTAGCCAGGAACTGTGACCACTGGACCACAGAGGCGGTCTCGCAACGATATAAAATAATTAGATTAATTTGTAATTTTTGAGGTGGGAAGTTAGTTGGAATTACTGGGAGTTAAGATAAACATTGGTTCGGTTAACCGAGTCTCTATTGTTTTGTTGAATTAGGCCTACGTGTAAAATCAATTTGCTCTATAAACGTTTTATGTAGACAGTTAAACAGTAACTTTACATACATGTTACGGTATTGAACGAGATGGACTTTGGTTTGTTACGTCCTTTTGTTTGTTAAAATGAGATACCTTCATTTTCATATCTGTTCACCAACTGCGCCGAGAGCCATCCATTGTCATCTCTCCAGGAGGAATGTTTTCATTGACTTCAATTTTCCGATATCACAAGTGGGTATTTCGTACCAACCGTTTTCAGCAGACATTCTGAAATGTAGTTTGAGTTGTTGAAGCTCTCAGTGGAGAAAATGAAGTGTGACAGACTTGTACAGATGGACTTCTAACAGCTTACCGTGTGGCTGAATTGCATTTTGTGGTTTATAGTCATGTTTTGACAAGTAGACTGCAGGTCTTAAATGAAACAGTTATAAAGTCAAGCGTTTCGCTTTAACATAGAAAAACTCCGCACTTTCTCCACAGAGTGTATTTATTCGTTTAATGTGAATCTCATGATAAACATCGATTTTTTCCCCCTTTACGGTATTAACGGTTGCTATTCATAATGGAAACGCAGTGTTTTCTGTGAGGTACGAACTGAATATTTAAATAACATTTACATGAATTTCAGGATTTATGAACACCCAAGCCAATGAGCATTTTTTTTATTGCTAGAGGGGGTGGGACTAAGTCCTTTGTACTGCGGCCACGTCTGGCCTATTGTACCAGCCCCAGAAGATAGGTGAGGGTGATTGTGGAGCAGTTGGTGGAACGAAGATTGGCAGGGGAAATCTAAGTACTCGGAGAAAACCTGCCCCAGTGCCACTTTGTCCACCACAAATCCCACTTGACCAGACCCGGGATCGAACCCGGGCCGCCGCGGTAGGAAGTCAGCGATTAACCGCTTGAGCTATGGCGCGGCCCTTGCCAGTGAGCATCTGCACAGGTCCTGGATAACTAGCTTTTTGCAAAGTGTTGTACCAGCCCGTTAGCCTGCTATCATTCCCGCCCCCTTTTATTTGTCTTTACGACTTGAAAGAATTAAGAAATCTCATAATAATTTCCAAGTTTCGACCCTTTTCTTGGAACATCTTCAGGCATACAACAATACTAAAATTGTCAGTATAGAATAATCATGCAGACACAATATGGATTCATATTGATTAATGGCGCATTTGAAAAGCTAAATAGTATTCGTGTACGCCTGAAGATGACGCAAGAAAAGGGTCGAAACATGTAGCAATACCACCAACAACGAATAAAAACAAATGTTAACACAGTAGTGTCTATTTTGTTTCTTTTTCACTATTTGTTGTGAGACTGTCCCAAATTGTATGTATTCTTGTTAATGTCGTTGCTGCTGTTTGTTGCGTGCTCGAAAACCTCTGATCATATGACGATATTTCTTTTTCAGGGGCCGAGATGCGGGGCGTTAAAAATGCAGATTCGCAGCGACTTTAAGTAGTTAGTCCTTGGTACGTTATCACATTTTTACTTGTAATTATTGCATGAATATTTACAATGTATAAATCCTTAAAGTAATTTTCTTTTTAATTAACTTAATTTTGTTAATTTGGGTGGTGAGTATTGAAGAACTCATCTATAATGTGCGATAGTATAGTATGAAGCCTGTAGCTAGAATTTATGTCACATGCATGTGCATGCAGTGACGCTGTTTAGATGATAATTTCCAGCACCACTGACTTACAGGCTTATTAATTTCGTATAACTATTCACCTTATTCACCTTCCCTGATCGTGATAATATTTTTACGGGCTGTGCCCGTAATAATGCAAGACTCTTCTAAGTTATCCGTACTATACCGAGTCCACAGATTGACGTACCATGGATGGACTACTGCGCCACCTCCCTCGAGTTCTTAGGCTCCTCTTTCCTTCATACTACCCTGTTTTCTTATCCAGCCATTATGTTTCGCATGAATATCCATAGTGATAACCACATGGTAGCCTTTCCTAGTGACGAAAGCGTCATGCTGTTGCTCGCATAGAACAGAGGGAGCTTGAGGGGAATACAGAGAGTAGGCAGAGCGCCGTCATCCCCACCACCCATGGCACTTCTTTCCTTGGCCTCAATATAGAGTTGTACACTTTGTTTGCACTGACCGTATCATATCCGGTCAAGGCAGCCCATCACAGTGGCCGCGCGGTCTAAGGCTCGAACTGTCTTCGCCCTCTCGAACACTGAGATATTGGGTTCGAGTCCCACTTGAGGCATGGATGTTTGTATGCTTTTTATTCTGCATTTGTGCTCTCCTTTGTGCAAATAGCGGCCTTGCAACGGGTTGATCCCCCGTCCAAGGATTCCTACCGACTGTGGAAAAGATCAAACTGAAAAAGGGGCCAAGGCCTGACAAAGGGCTGTAGAACCATAGATGGATCCAGTCAAGTCAGTTCGAGTTTGATTTTCAAAGATGCTGCAAAAGTAGGTAGTCTGTCTACAGCCTTAAGGACATTAAAGGACTAAACTGAATGCCACGTGTCTACTTGTTATGTTGAAACTTGTTGCGTAAGTCAGGCAGGTTTCACAACTTCTCTTGTCGTAACAAGCCTGCGAGGAGAAACTGGATCTCAAGAGTTTTCCTCGAACGTTTCGGTTCCTTTCACCCCTCATTTCTGCTCATCCCAACAGTTCCTGGTTAATTCAAACTCCGTGGCTTTATTGCGTAAGCGAACTATACCGACCGAGCAACCGACGCTTGTCGGCGAAGTTAGTGTCAACTTTTAGCGCATAGAGGGTGTCACGTGGTCAGCGCAACGGATCCCCACGGCCGTTAATTTCGGGTTTCGAGACCGAAGCCGCTACTTTTCCATTCAAGTATCTCCTCAATTATCCTCACGAGGCTGAGTGGACCCCGTTCCAGACCCACTGCTTCTCATAAAATATGGTAGCGCCAGGAATCGAACCAGGAACTCTGAACACAGAGGCGATCGTTAATGTCCTAATCTATTGTTTACGTTGATGCAGATGGATGGTAAAGACTAAAAGGGAAGAAGAGCCAATAAATATGATGAAAGGGTTTTAATCTCAAATTGTTCTCCATCTGCATTCAGAACAGGAAACAGAATTGGAATTAATATATGATATAACACCGGCCTAAGTGCAAACTATATTTATAGGTCTTTCGTCTTGTTCTCCTTTATACACTACATGTTTCGGCCCCAAACTATAGACATAGTGCGAGTAACCCTGACAATTTTAAATTTTAAAATTTAGAGAAAAAAAATTTAAAGGATTTAAAATTAGAACTCAAGATTTTATAAGTGCTAATTCAGAGAAATCAAAATTGACGCGTGTAAATAACAAAGATATCAACAAAGTAGATTTTGACAATAACAAGTAAAGGAACAATCAGAAAGACGTATGTTTTTAAATTTTAAATGTTATAAATGAGTGCAGTGTAACAGATACGTGAGTGTATACACCTGATGATGGCCGTTTGGGGCCGAAACATGTAGTGTATAAAGGAGAACAAGACGAAAGACCTATAAATACAGTTTGCACTTAGGACTGAGTTATATCATATCGTATAAAGCGCAGCAGGATTATTAAATATAATATTGAAATTAATAATCCATGCTTGGCGTAGTAGTGTAATAATTTGTCGTTGAGTAGGCTCAGCGTTGGAATAATAAAGGGGTGGTCTTATTGGTAGCTATAAAGCCCGTCGAAATGTCAACTGAAGATTGCTGAAGTATGCACTTCGTCACGAATACCTTGGAAAGGTAGCTACTGAGATACTGAACCTGATAGGATATCAACATGCATTAACCTCTGTTCCTGGTATTTCCGTCTCTCTCTTTCATTATTCTTTCTTCCTTTATACAGAAAACTGCGCTTTAAGAAAAAAAAACTTTTGTTCTTCATGCAGTTACTTGCATTTAACATTTCTGGATTCGCGACTCGTTTCGTTTTTTGTGACCTTCAGAACACACGGTAACGGGGGCCTGTCAGCCCCAATGCAAGGGCAGGGGGGGGATAAAGTTACTTGGACTCGAACCCATACATGTGGCAGCAAAATTAGCTATTTTCTAGGGGGTTTATCTCGAGTAGTAGCGTTTTTGTGTTTAAATATTTTTTACAACACGCCGTTTGGATGAAACAGGACTGGACTGACGGGCGACAAACGTGTTTTCAGTATTAAACACTTCGATCAGACATTGACTGTAGAAAGTAGAAAGTCCAATACGATTTTTTGTAGTTTATTGAGTTTCGTTACAAACATAGGACTGTGTCCACATTAACACCAGGTTTTTGTGATACTCAGGTTCAGTATATACAAACATGCAAACTACAGTACATACAAACAAACAAACAATACATAGAAAATTACTTAACATTTTTAAGTAAGCTCAGTTACTGTTACCGTTACTACTGGTACAACCACTGCTGCGCCATTACTGTTTGTTCTCTTTATCCATTTTATCGTTTCATATTATCACATGTATGTGTGACTCTCGACCGGGTTTTAGACTGGATATTGGATTTATTGACCACTTGTACACACGACTCGGAACTACAAATAATTACAGCGCTACCTCTAATCCCCACAAATCACCAATCACCACAGCACCTACTAAGCAGTTTTCAGCTTTCCCCCCCCCCNATTCCGGACGATGGAAGACGTCTAAAACCCACGTCATTCTGAATTATTATTATTATTATTATTATTATTATTATTATTATTATTATTATGGCTCTACAGGCTTTTGTAGGGCCTTGGTCGCTTTCTCAGTTCCTTGATCCTATACACAGTCGGTAAGACTCCTTGGACAGGGGATCAGCCCGTCGCAAAATCTCAACCTACACACAGAACAACACAAACACAGAATAAACTCACATACGTACATCCATGCCTTGAGTGGGATTTGAACCCACGATTCTAGCGTTCGACGAGGTTTAAACCGCGCGGCTACTGTGATCAACTCTGATATCAATTATATTTATGGTATAGGCTCACGTTTTTAAAACACCGCACTGAGGCCCATTCGTGTAACGAAATATGAAGAAGGCAAAGAGCATCCACCTGTCAGGATACAGGATCTGCGTACTCTGATACATACCCGTGCGGCGGTCATGCAGATGTATCATCATCCTAAGGGAGTCCGCATGCAAAATGGGTTTGCATGCGTCCGTTCTAAGAAGCTGTGTCGCGTGAGGCTGTTTTGGAGGGGGGGGGGGAGAACATAATAGCTTTTGCATGTTTTGATGATACGTCTCCCTTAGCCTCACCATCGTCAGTTTGCTGGCCACAGTTATACACGCGATCGAGTCTTCAAGGAAATTTTCCCAACAAATACAGAAATTTTGATGTAAGGATCCCTGTGAACTGTTAGGAGATCCGGGCTAGTGCAGTCGGTATAACGACTGGCTAGTGCCTGGATGACCGAGGGGTTGAGTTCGAGTGTCGGTAGAGTCAAGAATTTTTCACTTCTCCATGTCGTCCAGACCGTCTCTGGGTTCCACCCAACCACCTATCCAATGGGTAGCGGGGATAAAGCGGCCTGGGCGTGAAGTTGACCACTCACCTCCAACTAGTGCCGATGTCAAGAAAATATGGATCTATACATCCACTTTCCCATACGCCTTCACGGCGCAGTGCATGATTAGTTAAGTACAGGGGCAACTTTACCGTACCTTTGAACTGCTAGTGCTAATGCCAGTCTTTTCTTAAACATTAGTAGAGCCTGTAACTTGCCTCTTCAAAATAAAATCAAAGTCCGTGGCCTGTAGTCCGTAAGCGAAGTATACCGACCGAGCGACCGCCGATTGTCGGCGAAGTTAGTGCGGATAGAGGGTGTCGCGTGATCAGCGCAACAGATCCCCACGGCCGCTAATCTCGGTTTTCTAGACCGGAGCCGCTGTTTTCTTGAAATAGCTCCTCAATTATCCTCACGCGCTGAGTGGACCCCGTTCCAGACCCAGTACTTCTCAGAAAATCTGGTAGCGTCGGGAATCGAACCAGAGACCCCTGGAACTGTACCCGGGAACTCTGACCACTAGACCACAGAGGCGGTTCGAATGTTGTACTACTGATACGGGCTCGAGTTGAACATCAGATAAATGATCATGTCGCACTTCATTTGTTGATAGATTAAACGACGCTCTCAAGACGAGAAGGAACCTACATTTTAGTACCTGTTCATTAGCGTGGCTTTGTAATCATAAGGCAGAGCTTTGTTGCGGGTAACTGACCTCAGTATTCGAACCTGTGAATCTCCTGAACTCATTCGGTACACTAAATAAATCACATATTCAATTCCATATGTCTGCGCTGTTGGGATAACTAGTTTCACTTAGTGGGGGGGGGGGAGTCCAACTGGGTCAAGTCGGCACGGCGGCCACTGATTGGCCTATTATGGAGAATTTGGTGGAATGAAGATTGGCAGGGGAAACCGAAGTATTCGGAGAAAACCCGCCCCAGCGCCACTTTGTCCACCACAAATCCCACTTCACC